GTTGGGTGCTACCAGAACCTACCGAGCCTATATGCACTAGAATCTTTCATTCAGCCAAGAATTTTCTTCTGAAGATGGATCTCCGTGCCCCCGCCCCCCCCATTCCATTCATTAATTAGTGAATTAGAAGAGCATTTAAAACTCTAAATCAGCCAGTTCTGAGTGCTGTGCAAGGCACTGGGTGTTGTCTGGCCCCCATTCATAAATGAAGGTCTGTCCTCTAAAATTTTTTTCCTTCAGGAATGTTTTTACTAATGCATCCTAAGTGCCACTGCCTTGAACAGTCTCTGGCACATAGTAAGCTCTCAGTTACTCTGTTTTTAACCTGCTCCTGAGAATCCAAAGTTTCCCAAAACTATTTTTTCTTTCCTGTAGTGCGGTATCTTAATGCCTATACTGGAATAGTGCTACTTCGATGCCGGAAGGAATTCTACCAGCTTGTGTGGTCAGCTCTTCCCTTCATCACGTATTTGGAGAACAAAGGACACCGTTACCCATGTTTTCTCAACACCTTACATGTGGGAGGTAGGGATGCATGTGGTATGGCTGCTGATTTTCAGTAGGTAACAGGTTCAGAGTTCAGTCTTGACTCATGGGTGGGAGTTCCTGCCAAGAACAAAATGCTTTCCCCTAACTCAGTCTTTGAGGCAGACACCTTTCACAGGCTGTTGACCACAAAGCGCTTTCATGTACCAGGTACGATTAGAACATGTCAGAAGTTCCTGATTCAGTACAACAGGAGACAGCTGTTGATCTTGTTGCAGAACTGCACTGATGAAGGTAAGCAACACTAGCCCAGTGTTCACTAGGCATTGACTCCAGCTGAATAAGGGGTCACACTCCCAAAGACATCTTTCATCCATGCTGTCTGCCTGCCTTTCTCCAGGAGAGCGGGAAGCTATCCAGAAGTCTGTCACAAGAAGCTGTTTCCTAGAGGAGGAGTCGGGTGAGGAAGAGCTTTCAGATGGTGGTGGTGAGGAGGCTGCCGAAGCAATGGAGTGAACCTCTGCAGGCTGCACTGTGCTCGAGCCTCAGGGCCCACTTGTTAAGACATTCTGGGAGGCAGAAGCATCTTCTACAGTTCTCCAACCTGGACGACTGCCAACCAAATGCAAGTTACTGGCTCAAAATGGAGGACTTTTCACTTAAACTGAAGTCACCTTTACCTAGCATTGCCTGGTCAAGTGGCTCTGAAGGTTGTGAACCCTCTGTAGTTATAGATACCTTTGTTCCCCATACCTGGCTGAGAGGTTTAACATTGTATTTGGCTCCTATAGCATTTAGCATACTGAGGCAGTTCATGCTTGGCCAAGTTTCTTCCCACTCTACACCTGGCCTCAGTGGAAGGAGTGGCTCCTTATGTGGTATGAGACACACAGCCTCCCACTTGAGACTTTGTACCCCCTAGGATGGGCCCAAGCAATCCAGGGCATTTAGAGTAGAAGTACTGAGACACAGCAACTGAACTGGCACAGATCTATTGCTGATCTCAATACTGACCCACAGAAACTTGAAAATATGAGATTCTTTATCAGCATTTAATTAGGTAACTTGACAAATAATGCAGTTCTCGCACTTTTCTTGAGGGGAAAAAACCTGGCCTCATCTGACCTCATTATTCTAAAGCCAAGTAGCAGCTGGCAGTTTTTGGCAGTTCCACCCTTCCCTTTATCCTTCCTGGCAGGTGAGGCAGCCACACACACATGAATTAGGGACAAGAGATTGTAGTCATTTTTGATCTACCCACTAATGACATATTTAGGATGTTTTCTCTGTAATAAAATAGATGCCAAAGTCTGATACATTTAACAGATTTGTGATTTTTGCTTCATACGCTTTCACCTGAGGCTGGAACACCCTCATCTACCCAGGATAGTTCCTGACCCAGGATTTCTGAACCTTTTAACAAGGACAGGTTAAAGCTAAGCCCAGCTCAAGATCCCTTTATTTAGACCTGACACTAGGAAAGATGTTACTCTATGACAGAAGAATTGCTCAAGCTCACGGTAACTGTTACTTCGGAAGTATGTCTAGCTGACCTGTAATGAACTTTAAAAAAACAGAAAGCTCACATTGCTTGTGCAGGTGGTTTATTGCAACCATTTGCCATCACATTCTATTACACCTAGAGGTTACTTTATTAAGCAGCGAAAGAATTCACATCACTCAAATTTAGCTCAAACCAAGGCAAGAGACTACTCTAGACAACAGGGAGGCAGTGGCAACCCCACTGCTTTCAATCCTGTCCTGCTCTGCCTCCAGGTGTGCTGGACTCCTGCTCTTATAACAACTTAGGCCACTGTCACTTGAAATAAGTTTGATCTAAAGGTTGGCAGGTCCTGGAGCTTCCTTCGTGACAGTTACAGCTTTCCTTGCCAAACAGAAACCACATGCAAGAGGCAAAACCCTCCATCACACATGCAAGTGCAACCCAGCTCTGGCCCCACAGCCTGGTCTTTTGTCAGAAGAAAGACTGCAATTCAAGCAGAGTATCCTAAAGCCATCCCTCTGGTTTCTTTAAGAGAACCGAACAGAGGAAAATTCAACTTTTTAAAAGACACAGATAGGTGTGTTGAAACCATGACACCCTGACACATGATGTCACAGCAGAACAGTGCTATTTAATACTTTGGTTTAGGCTGCTCCCAGGGATGCTGAAGGGACTCAAACTTATTTTGGGTTGAGAAAAACTAATTACACATGGGTCAAAAAGACTAACCTAGCAACAAACTAAAAACCTTGGCAGGAAGAGATCTCTTTTGAGTGTCAATACTTTATTTTGGTGTAAAGACGGGAAGCTGTAAAATACACTGTATTTAAAATCTTCTTGGTTCCCCCTCATGTTGTGGAAACCCCCTCCCCCCCAGAGCTAATCTGTTCAAACTCAAATACTTAAAAATTACAGCAGCAAAACAAAAGCACAGAAAAAAGACCAGATGGGAGAAGGTAGCCTGGGCCAGTAGTGTCACTTGGTGTGGACGACTGAGGTGCTGAACAGGAGCTTCTGTTTCTGTTTTTTTCTCTTCTTTCCTCCTTTCTCTTCTAAATGGAAACAGAAAGAAAGCTTAGCTTAGAATGCCATCCCATTGTCCCCTGGCCCGTTTCATTACTGAGAATCGTAGAGTAGCAGCTAAGAGTGTAGGCTCTGGAATCAGACTGCCTGGATTCAAACACCAATTCTTGCATAGTCTATGTGTTTGTCTTCGGGCAAGTCACTTTATCTCCCCAGACCTTTTTCCTCATCTATAAAATGAGTTACACCCATTGAATATGGTTCATGGGAGAATAAAATCAGCACAATGCTAGGCACACATAGGGAGCACACTATGAATGTTATTCTTGTCTAATCATAAATATCAGAGTCGGGGTGGGCTTTGAGCCCAACTTCTGCATCTCAGTCCAAAATCTACTCTCCACTACTGTGTCTTAGAAGGGATAAAGAGTTCCTCAGAATTTCACATCCAGGCCTCAAGAATTAATCTCAGGTGGCAGAAAGGGTCCCATATGACATACCAAATGGAATGTTAGTTGACACTAGAATGTGAGCCCTAAGGCTCAGGGAAAAGTGCCCGACTGATTAGTGATGTCTGCCACTGGATCCAGATGGGCAGGACAACCCTGTGCTGAGCACTCCAGTTCTTTTTGTCTTTACCAGAGAGGGCATCTGAAGGAGGTGGTGTGTCCAGTTTCATGAAGGCTGCTTCAATAGCTTGGCTGAAGGAATTCTGGAAACTGGGCACAGGAACACGGTCCGAGTTATCACTCTCTCCATCACTGTCCACAGGGGCAGGAGGAACTAAGCTGTTTTCATCTAAAAAATACTAGTGTTACAATTCTGGAAACAACTCAAGAGACTTACACTTTCTGAAAGGAGCCAAATTCCCCCTTTACCTGGAGGGCCGTCCTCACCTCTCTTTGGAGCAGTTTTGGGCCACACATCTGTTTTTGCTTTTCCAACTCTCAGCATCTGCCAAAGTGGGAAAAAAGGGGTAAGAAATCTAATGATTTGATAAATAATGAAAACTCTGATTCTCCCTCAACTACTCTTGGCCTCTTTCCTTGGTACATCTACAATAATATCTGCGACTAAATCCATGAGCTTCCCTCTTAAGAAAACCTTCCATTATACTGAGTCAGTGTAATGTTAGCCTGTAAGTCTCCCTTCTCCAACAAAGGGGTTTTCAGAAAGAGTAGAGTTCATGATAAATACCCTTGGGCTGCTTCACAAGCAAAAGATTTACCTGGGCAAAGGAAGGGAAAGGAGAGTCTTCTTCCAGACTCCCAACGCAGAATGAAGGACTGCCCTGACTGGCAGTGGGTGACACAGGAGTTAGCAGAAAGTCTGAAAGGGAACCAGAGACCTGATTATACGAGTCAAATTCCAAAGAGAGGAACCCTGAACCAGGTCTGGATAATTATCAACCTCACCTCTGAACCAGGCCTGGATAATTACCAACCTCACCTCAAAAAGCAAACCTTGATCCAACTTCTACGTTACTATGTTCTTAAAAAGCCAAGAACATGGCCTAATGTTCACACCAGTGATCAGTATATAGATAAAATTTAGTGGTTACAGTAACACCAAAAGATATGGCAGAATCTATTCCCCCAGTTAGAAAAACTCCACATCGGCTGGCTCTCAAGGCCTAGGTACTAGACTGTCATAAACTGGTTTTATATAGATGAAAAAGCTCTGAGTAAAAAAAATAAAATTTAATCAGGTCAGCCTTTATGATCCAGCCAGCAGATGTCTGTGACTTGGGAATATTCAGTTAGAATCCAAAACACACGTCAACAAAATCCAGCACAAAGCAGCAAGCTTTTCCCTGATACTCCCTCAGGAATAGTCTCCATCCTTTCCAACCTTACATTGCACATTTCCCACAGATTAGTCTACCTGCTGCGCTGATCACTGCTGGATGAGGCCTATTCACTCTCCCAGTAGCAGGCTCTTCCATAGTCAGCCAGAGCTGTTTAGTACTTTTATTCCTAAGACCATCCAACTACTCTTGCCGAAGCACATCGAAGCCCACCCAAATCTTCAGCAAAGCTAGTACATGAAAACACAATCTCTGTATCATAAATGATGTAGTCGATGTTCTGCCGTATTCCTTGTATAGCAGCTCTCTTCTGAGTCAAAGTGAAGAGCATCATGGTCATGCAGCCCTCGTGATCCAGGTTCCAGTTCCAGTCCCTGCCACTAACCTAGTTTCTCAGCCTTAGCCTTGGGCTCCTAATCAGTGATAGGCGTATGATCACAACGGTAAATAGTCTGATCTTGGACATTTTCTTTAAAATGCCTGACAGAAAATAAATTTTAAGTATCAAAATAACTGCCAGGTAAATGAAAATCAGAAATGATAGCTCTCTAAAATGATATCAATTATTAAGTGTTTAATTTCATATGGAAAAAAATTTAAGGCTGAAGGCCTCTGAACAACCTCGCAATCCTGATCTGACTCACTAGAGTGGAACACCATACCAGTTTGGAACATCATCATCCCAGTATTTTTTTATACATTTAGAAATATAAATCCATAATGAAATGCTTTGTGGCTTTTCTCTAAACCCACAAATAGTATCATATTTTGTTCTACAACTTTCTCTTAACTCAAAGGTTCGTGAAGAGAGCTATTTCCTTCAATAGGTATAAAGTATTTTATAGTATAAATGCTATAATTTAGCCATTTCCCTACCAGTAGACCTTACAGACTGTTTTTCTCCCCTGTGCTATTATAAACAATGCAAACATGTTTAAGCATACAAAGGATGTATCTCAAAGGCTGAAACTAGAAATAAAACAGCAGGGCTGCAGGGAAAAATCAATGTTTAACTATTCTATATGAGCTGCTTTAAGGTTTTTAGAAGCTAAGGCATAAAGCAGTCAGTGCAGCCAATGGGAAAGGTGAATTAAATGGCAAGAATCTGATGTATCTCTGAAATATGTTAAAAAACTACCCAAAGTAATGTTAGTTACCTAAAGACTCCGCCATGCCAAATAAATTGAGTATTGTAAATTCAGACACAATGGCTTTGTTTTAAGGTCTATGGCTGGTGGCCAACTTCATTCTTTAAATTCCAACTTTATTTACCTGCTTGGGAACCTGGACTTCTGCTAAGAGGAGAAATGGAGAGACCCCCATGGCCCTCAGTGCTGGTGGGACCCAAAGCAGAATCAGAGGAGCTGGTATAGGAGTTGAAGGCAGGAAACTGCTGTAGATTCTCTAGCGGAATGTGGACTTCTGGGTCTGCAAAGGAAAGATGAGAATGGTAGACCCAATTACAGATTTCCTCAAATCTTGCTCAACATTTTAAGAAAGCCAACATGAATCCCTCAGGGGTCTGAAGGATGTAGACAGAAGTTTTAAAACCCAAATTTTAACAGTCACTTTATGTCTGTCTTTGTTTTACTATAAAACCCTTGTCCTAACTATTGCATAATTGAAGCTGGATGATAAACATAGAGGTTAATCGTCTGTTCTATGTACTTGAGTTTGATTACTTCCATAATAAAAATGTTAAAAAGCCCTTGTTCCTGAAACATGTTTTCTCAAATGTTTAGGACATGTGCCAAACAGCTACATAGCATCGGGACCCCCGCTATATATTTGTCCCAGATGGAGAAGTAAAATCTGTTTATCATACCAGATGGAGTCAAATAGCTAAATCCTTTCCCTAGCCAAGGACTCGATTCCTAATTTTTTTGAGGATAAGCAGGCCCTCATGTCACACTAATCTTTTGAGTTCCATGAAGCTTATATTGGTGAACCAGATGAAAAGACTCTGTACTTTATGATATGAAAAAGCTC